GGAAGAGGTTTGGTGGGGGGAGATAATTGTGACGACAATATCAACGAAAACAACTCATTTAAATGTCTAAATGCGTTATACATCGTTTTCACCACCACCATCACCACCATTATCATTACCACCACCACCACCACCACCACTACCACAAAAACAATCAAAACAACAACAGCTGCAGCAACAGAAACACAAACACTACCACCACCACCACAACACCAGCATCAACAACAACAGCAACAACAACCACACCTCCTTGAAAATGCCTGAAATCAAAAGCGTCCGCGAACACACTGTTATCCTATCAGCCATGCTATCCCGTCTCCTCAGTTCAAAATAATACATTTTAACGATGTGATGTCACCTATTAACCACTGCAAACTGCCAATGGGATTTTTTTGATCGAGTCGGGGTGAGACAAATTTTCCTTCATTGAAGGACAAAAGCTATCATACGACCACAAAACAAACCGATTCGACTCACGATCTCGAAAAACAAACAGGTTTGATTTGAAGTTCTCCGTCGGAATTTGTTGAATTTGATCATATTGTGCCAAAATGGTGGCAATGGGAGTGCACCGCGTAATAATAATAATAATAATAATAATAAATAATAATAATAATAATGATAATAGATTTAACATTTGTATAGCGCAAATTTCCGCTCAACAGCAAGCTCAATGCGCTTCACAGTCTATACTATTACCCCAGCAGACTTGAGAGCTTTTTGAAACCTCAACTTCCTAGGAAGCATACAGTGCAAGCTGCCATTATTAGGGGCTAAAATACCAACGTTGGGACAAGACATTTCGCTGTCTATGGACGGGTACCTATTCCCACCTTGGTGAAGTGAGGAAAATTCGCGTAAATTGCCTTTCACAGGGACACAACGTCGGGCCCGCGGCTAGAACCCCCTAACCCGCAACCTCACGATTACGAGTCCGCTAGCCTAACCACTAGACCCCCGATGCCACAACTCGTAAAGCAAACCCTTTTCTCTAATACTCATCAATTCTATTGTTTTCTTTATACACCTTTTTGTCCACGAACAGTTTTATGCACTTTGAAAACAGTAAATAAACAGAAGGAAAAAAACCCGGAAAGACAAGGAGCAGGATAGACCTCAAGCATCTCCTCACACCAACAACAAAAGATATATATA